CTGAGAATATGTATCTGGTGTATGCAGATACTGTACGTGTTATCGAATCTATATGGAATATGTATTACCTCTGGAATATATATGCATGTTATATTCTGGGAATATCTGTTACATATAGGTATGCATTTGTTATTTTTAGTGACTGTATTCAATTTGATTATGAGGATTGAGACTTTGGCTTTATGCAGTTTTAATCCTTGAAAGTTGAATATTAAGTTATTGCTTATATCCATTTCGGTATATCCACCTTTCACACTACATAATGACACCGTTGGGTGAGAATACAGTTTCACATGGCCTCAAGATTATTTGTGGCAAGAACACATGAGTGGGTATTCATATTTTTGAGCTGTGATAGTAACTTTGTATTATATTTCTTCCAATACAATAGAAATTCCATCATACCTTGAAATTGCACTGTATACCAACTTAGTGACCCCTCCCCGCAGTACATGAAGGCCTTGAAGGCTACCCTGACAACCTCCCAGCCCGTCATCTCGCCAGATGACTTTTCCACCGTGTTCTACCGCATCAGCGAGCTCCATGCAGCCCACAGTGCCTTCCTTCAGGGCCTCCGGGAGCGCTCTTCACAGCTCGATGGCTCAGGCACCATTGGGGAGCTCTTTAGAGATCTGGTAAGAAGTCATGAAGGGGTTTCGTTTCCATATGATAGCAACAGATATTTGATCTTCATCCATAGCTTGTATTGCAGTTTGTAATGATGTTTTCAATTAAGTCATATAAAAGAATTTTCTTTCTTTATCTTTTCAAATGGATATGGTAAATGGAGATCTGTCATGCCACTATGAGATAGAAAGTATTAGAAATGTACAGTACATTTCCATGTCTAATTTTGTGGATGTGTGTCCACAAGACAAACCATATCCATATAAGTTCACATCACTGTAAGGCATCTGCTTTATGTATCTTCTTGGAGGTAGCTTTCATTAGCATTTTTGTTCATTAGGTATTATTTTATGTACTTTTATCCCTTGTCTTCTGACTTATTTTGTTCATATCATTAAAAGGTGGACATAGTTACTTTCAAAATGTAATTTATTACAAAATAATGAAGGTTTAACAGCAGAAACACTAACACAAGCACTTTTCCACAGGCAAGCAAATTAGATGTGTATGCCTCATTCCTGCAAAACTACCCCCGTGCCATAGAAACTGTGAGACGATGCAGTTCTCAGAGTCCTCAATTTGCTGACATCACACGCTCCATCAAACTCCGGTCCCTCCAGGGCCAGCCACAATCTCTTGAGGACCTCTTGCACAGACCTGTTGCAAGAGTCCAGAAAAATGCTCTAGTCCTTCATGTAAGTTTTTTCTTTGGTATTTTATAGAGGCTTGCTTAGTTTGTTTATAAGCCCAGAATTCATGAACTAGTTTTTGTTATAAATGATAAGGATAAGGAAATGGTAGTATAAAGCCTTTGGAGGTTTAGATACTTTTACATTATATGAATTCTGTTTTTTTTGTGTTATTCATAAATAATATTCATTAACAGATTATATGGGTGAAATGGTATATCATGACTGATGAATTAGTCTGTCTGATACAGTATGTAGACTAGATGTGTAATGTTATACTTTTATAACAGATTACAAATCACATTTTAGTTTAAATAATTTTTATTTTCATTTTCAGGACTTGCTCAAGTATACTTCAGAGAACCATCCTGATCATGAAACTTTGAAAGAAGCTCTCAAACTTACACAGAACTTTTTAACACATCTTTCAATGATTCATACTGAGGCAATGTTTCCAGTAAGTAATATGGCATGAGGCTCTATAACTGAATTTTATTTCTGTTTTATTTATATGTAACTTAACCCATTGGATCCAGTGGCGGGATTGTGTCATCATGTAAAAATTGGCTGAGGGCTGGGGTGATGGGAATGAATTGTCATGAGATATTATTGTTGAGTGGAGGGTGACACATATCTCACATGGGTGCACAAAGATCTTGGAAGGAAATTAGACTCAGTGGGCCTTTAGGAAGGAGCTCCTGTATTATTTCCACCAGTAAATGAGGGTGAAATGTACCATCTGTGAGCCATGCTGCATATAGAAATGTCCTCGCTGGAGCCTGCTCCAGGGAGGACATTTCTATGTGCAGCAACCTCTTCCTGCTCTCCTTGATTGGCAGTGCAGGGTGAGTTAAGGAAAAGTAGATATTACTAAGATATAGACAAATAATATGAGGAACTCAATAATACTTGTCATTGTTTTTGCACAGAGGTTTAGACGACCGGGAGAGATAATGTGGAATCTGATTAATGAAAACAGTCTATTATAATCTTGATGCAGCATAACAAATGACAGATATACACCTTAGAAAATGGCAAACAGCATATGCAGAATAAGAACTAATAGCACAGCAAAGATAAGGCAAGGAGTCTTAATACTGCACTTGAATTTGTGTGGGTGGGGCCTACAATACACTTACCCCGGAGAGTGACCACTCAAGGAAACCTAATGCTTGGATTATGGTCCACATGCAAGATGCAGGGCACCTAGATCCAATGGGTTAAAATAACTTTGATACTTTTATAAGTTAGCCATCGTGATTGATCAGTTTGATAAACTTAGTGGAATCAATTCACTTCACAGGAGTTTTTATAGATATGGTTGTTAATATTTTATATATTTCCAGGCTCAGGATCGTCCTCAGCGACACTTGGTTCGCAATTCATTTATTGTAGAGTTGGTTGAAGGTCACAGAAAACTTAGGCATCTCTTTTTGTTCAATGATGTTATAGTTTGTGCCAAGTACAAAGTAAGTGGCGCTGTGAGTATATTTGTATTTTGTGTTGCCTTTAGTTGTATAAGTGTTTAGTAATGATGGATTTAATTTTTCTCTATATATTGCTGAATATTCTTCCCATGACAGGAAAAGTGATGTTACTTATAAGAAGACATTTTAAAATTTTTTCGTTATTTTTACAGCCAACAGGAAGATCAGAGAAGTTTACATTTGAAGTGAAATGGTACATTAGCCTCCATGATATAGCTGTGTTAAATGACAGTGGACCAGAGACTCTAAAAGAATCTAATCCTCCAAACTTGGTCTCACTTAAGTCACAAGCCTCTACTATTCGCGACCAGTTAAGACGATTAGACAGTATGGGTGAAAAGGGGGTAAGTGGCAGTGAAACTGAAATAAACTGATATGTTTATATGTCCATAAAGAAAAAGCAGAGAGAAAAAAAATGTATAGATTTTCATATATCTGCATAAAGAGAAGTTTGTTGCAAACAAGTGGAACAGTTTTTATTTTTCAAATGTAAAAATTGTACAATAAGAAATGAAATATTGATTATATAATATTCATTACCACTTCTCTCACAGGCTAGCCGAATGAATCAAGCCCGAAATGAAAAACATCGGAAGAAGCTAGCTGAATTGGAGGCCCAGCTGGTTCTAGCATCTCCAAACCTCCCATTTAGAATATCGAAGCGAGCGGGACCTGTCCACACATTCCTTCTAACTTCAGAATATGAGCGAGATCAGTGGGGTGAAGCCATCCAAGTACTGCAGGTAAGGAGGATGACAAGGATGGTGGAGGTCCTTTTTGCCAATAGCTGTGTGGGGGTGGGGGATTTTTTGTGTGTTCAAACAATTTTACTTTTCATTGGCTTGCCTTCACAGGTTTCGGGTATGTCAGCTTCAGATCGCAAGTTGAGCAGGACTTTTCTCCTAAAGTTCCATTTGCTACAGAGAGGAACACTTCTCATAGAATCTCTCCATCCACACTTCCCTCGGGCAATAAAGGCCCACACTTCCTCTCGCTCTCTATTCACTTCATGCTTCGTGAGCATTACTTTATAGGATTGGGGTTGCTGCCCTGCATGATGGATTTTGCGGAGATGTGTTTGCAGTCCCATTGGATCCCTGACACTCAGGAGATGCAGTTTCCTTTGTCTTGAAAACCATAATTTTCTCTCTTTTTTAATGATTTAGCAAATAATTGTGTTTATCTTTGTTATTGCTCTTTTTTTATTTCATAATTGTGAATTATCATATCCCTTCTTCAAATCAGAGTTCTTTATAGCCATGTGGTGGTTTTATTTTTAGTATATTAACTGTGTTTTGATTAGCAGTTGCTTGGTTCTTTGCACAATTTATTTATAAGAAGTAATTACGAGTGGAGTGATGTATCCTGTCCAGAGTGATTTGTCTGTTTCCTTTCCAATATCATTTCATTATCCAAATTGTATCATTAACAATTTCTTCCAGGCCAACACCCCAGGAGTTGGAGGAAGTTCTCTCACCCTCCATGAGCTCCAGGGATGGATCACAGCCTACAGATCCTTCCTAAAGACCAACATGGGTTCCTTCTTGCTCAAGTCAGGGAGAGATGATTCTTTACTGCTGGGTGACCTGCACATTGTGGTATCTAGTCTACATGGCCTTACTAGACCTGCAAGTGAGTACACTTTAAAACAAAAGTTGTGAAGGTATAAAGTAAAATTAGCCTAATCTTTGTACATGCAGAAAATCACATGTGTGCCTCAACTGCATGCATATTCTTTCATTTATGCATCTATGTACTGTTGCAGATTGTTCTAGATAACAGAAAAGAAGACATATAACTTTCTTTCCACAAAACTACCTCTAATACAAAGTTTAATTTACTGATAATTTTACATTTCCAGAGATGTTTGTGTGCTTTGAAGTAGACTCGTATGGCCATTTCTTCCGTAAAGTAAAGACAAAACAAGCTGAGGGTGTTGAACCCCACTGGAATCAGGACTTCATAATTGAATTGGAAGGGTCACAGACACTTCGAATTTTATGCTATGAAGAAGATCCAAAGTTGGGTGTGCAACTGAGGGGAAAGGCTCACCTTGAGGTAACTATCACCTTTTTTATGTTGTTTTGCATACTTGATTTTCTAATGAAAATATCAAGTGAAGGTTGAATAAAGCAACATATAAGACACTTTACTTTAATCAATAAGATTTGTCTCTTCCATATCAGCTTTCTAATCAATGCTCTCGTTCCATTAGCTGTCACGCTCATGGTTGAGTGACACCTTGAATGAACGGCGTGTTAGTCTTCAGGACTTGGTGTTGGTGCTTTCCCTAAAGTTCCTCCCTCCTGAAGCCACACTCAGAAGAGTCCCAACTGGAAAGTCATCTGGATTGTTTGGCACTAACATTGCCAATGTGTGCAAGTAAGCATTAATGTCCTTTCCTGTTCATTAATTAAATATTGGTGAAAATGAAAGTGTGAGAAGATTAAGGGAAAGAATATTTATATATTAAAAAATCTTGAAAATTACTTTTCCTCTGATGTGTCTTCAATGGTTTTTCTTTTCAATAGGCGAGAAAAGAGAAGTGTACCATTTATAGTGACGAGGTGTGTGCGTGAGGTGGAAAGACGTGGGATGCAGGAGGTCGGAATATACAGAGTATCTGGCTTAGCATCTGATATCACAAAGCTGAAAAAGTCCTTTGAATCAAGTAAGTCATTATAGCATATAATAGCGTATTTAGAAGTAAAAAGTAAGAGATTTTATGAACGACTTTTGATATATTTATGACTTTTGATATATATATATATATATATATATATATATATATATATATATATATATATATATATATATATATATATATATATATATTAATAATTCATTTCTTGCCTATGTAGTTTTGATAATCTTTTTTATATAATTTTGTCTATATTATTAATTGATTTAATTAATTGATGTTTTTTAGTATATGATAATCTTTTCTATGTAATTCTGTAAGTACAAAGAGTTAACCTTTTTTTACAAAAAAATTTAATCATTACAATTTTCAACAGATCCATATGAAGCTGAGCAACTTGTCAAGGAAGTGGATATTCATTCAGTTACCGGCCTTCTAAAGCTTTTCCTGCGTGAACTTCCGGAGGCTCTCTTTACAGATGAGCTCTATCCTCGTTTCTTTGAAGCATACAGTGCTGCAGATCCCGAGTACCGGAAAACCACAATACTCAAACTGTTTTCATCACTACCCCAGCTAAACCAGTCAATTATCGCCTATCTTCTTGAACATTTAGTAAAGTAAGGAAACTTTAATAATTACAGTGAACTATGACAGACTTTTATAGTCCTGTGTCTTGCAAGATTAAATAGTATTAAGAACTTACAAGAATCTTTCAGTAGGACTGACAGAAATGAGCTCTTTCAAATTGATTATCAATGTTGTGTAAAGAGAAAAGATGGAAGAGGTTAAAATTCCAGGATTTAACCCATTGCCGCTGGGGAAAATGAACAAAAAAGGGGGAAAATGCTGTGCCTATTTTCTATATTTTTTGTGAAATGTCTGCCCATAGATGGCTCTGTTAGTGTGTTAGTGCCTGATTTGAAATGGCGGTAAAAGCGTATTTTTCGCTAGTGCCATGAATATCGATGGTGTTATATTTATAATAAGCATTTTAATCTTTATGATGTTTTTTAACATTAGTAACAGCAAAATAAGATAACATAAAATATTTCGTAAATCAAAGAAAAGGGTGAACGGGCGAGACAGGCGGTACTCGTAACTGGCTCATTGGTGATTTAGTACAAGTGTAGCCATCTATGTGTAAAAACAATCCAACAATAATCTCATCACAGTGGGCATGGCCTGGCATGCCTGTCGACAATGGGTTAAGGAATGATTTGATCAATCTGTATCTGTTTAGAGCATTTTGTATAGAATACCATCTTGTATTATTTCCATTTACTTCTGATATTAAACATTAATTTGATTTTTTTCTTTCTTTTCTTTTTTTAGAGTGCACCAGATGGAGCATCAGAACAAAATGTCTCTTCATAACTTGGCCACAGTCTTTGGGCCAACACTGATCCGGCCAGGAGCCAAGGCCGGTAACCCATCCCCAGCAGAACAGCTTGCAGCAGGCACAGTGGATGTCATGGCTCAGGCAGGAATACTCCATTTCTTCCTAACAAGACGTGCACATGGAGAACCAATACAGGGTGTCAACCAATAGGTGTAGAGTCATATATTGTATGTGTGTGTATATATATCTATTATTTAATATTTGTTTTAACTATTACTTTCTGAACAAAAGTTCAGATCATAATACTGGACTCAATTGCCATTAAAGGCCTTATGGATGGTGGTATTAAGGCTTCTCATTCTTTGGTCTAGATGCAATGCTATAGAATTATCTAGTGACAACACTATGTATATAAGACATTTATATTGAACTTAACAGTGAATTCTACTGTGTTTTCTCATATTAATTGCTAGTGGCTATAAGTAAAAACTGCCAACATGATGGAGAAGTGGAAAAAAAATGAATATTAGTGGAAAAGGAAAGAGGAAATAAAATAGATTACAGATCTTCCATATATCCATATTTTGTATGTGACGTGGAAGTTGGTAAACATACCCCTGGAAAAAGGATAGTTTTTCAGTCAGGACTTTGTAACCTCAAATGCCTTCCTGTTCAACCCACACATTTTATACTCTTTGATATCATAATCCTTTTTCAGGTTTTTAGGTTAAACTTGGATGTTCTTTTTTTTCTTTTTTCTTTTTTTTTTACATATGAGTGCTAAGACCAGTGTTCTGTTTAGTAAAGTGTATGCATTTTGCCCAAGAAAAGAATCAGTGCCTACTGGAAGAGAACCTAACATACACTGTGACGTTTTCCACCTTCATGTGACTTGTAGATGATTTTAGATGAATGTGTCATTTTTGGAGGATGCAGTAGAGAGCCTTAGGAACTTTTTTACGCAAGTAAAATGATGATAGAATAATGATGATATATATTTATGTGAGCCTCAGGAGGTGAGCTGAACTTGAATTTTTTTCTCCTTTTTTACTTCCTCTGTTTTCTTGAAAATGCTAGTCACTACCATGTGAAAGTTGGTATGAATGCAAGTATTATTTACATTTGTGTTGAGCTTTATAAAACCTGTCACTTAATTCATTTGTAGTTGTACCAGATACCCATTGTGGATATAACAATCCATGGAATTTTAAGCAGTTTTTGTGACAGACTATATATTCATGGTACTGATTCATTTTTTTCTGTCATAGAAATATTTCATATTAGAATTTGTGGAAAATCAAGTTAAAAACAATATAAACAGGTAAAAGTGCTTGACAGTAATTTAGTAATTTAGTTATTGCATAAAGAAGGGTTAGTCTCATAGATTATGTGAATACTTGCATTTCTGATAACACTTAAAGCCTTACATACAATAAAGTCAATTTCTATAGCCAGTGACAGGTATTAATGCAGTACATGTTGCTTGAATGATGATTTATTACAAAGGATTAATGCATACATAAATATACTTTACATGCATAAACAGTTGCATGATTAGGATTATAACAAGGCAGTGACAGTGTTATATAATCTGACAAACTTTATCTACAGAGCTTTTATACCTTTAATAATACCAGATGTAGCAACAGAAACAAAGCATTCACATTCTTTCATAGTATAAATGTTTTTTTTTTTTTACAGAATGATTCACAGTTGTTGTATACTGTTTGTGGTCAGATAGTAAATATCTGAGATACATAATGAAATGTTGAAATATGTTTATGTGTATTAAAATATCTCAATTTTTTTAGGTGTGATATTAAAAAGATATTGCTTTGTCTTTTGAGATGGTATGGATATATTTTATTTTTGCCCTAAACCATTCCTAAAATACTTCTTATTTCCACAACATCATATTTTGTATGACTTAGATGCCAATGTATTTTTATCCTGTTTTGTTACCATTTCTTATTGTTTTATACAAGTTTTTTTTCCAAGTGCAAATCCAAAATAGGAATGTTGCCATAATAAGATTTGTATTATAGATCCAGTGATCAAGGTAATAAGTATAAGTCATTGCTACTGTGATACATTTGAGTTGAATAGTAAAATTGTTGTGTATTTAGTTCTTTCATACACTTTTAAAAAGATTTCATTTAGGTTCCATTTCAGTTCCAACATTGTAGAGTATCGATACCCAATATTTTTTAATAAACCTATTAAGTTTTGGTATTTTTTTCTAATGTGAATGCATCTCAGGTGCTAGCAAAGTTGCTGAATGAAACAAATCTGAAAAAAATGCACACAGATTGTGCAGTTAACGTATTTGTGGAACAGTACCATAGTTTTGGTTTTAAGAACATATCAAGGGTCCCTTTGTGTAATCATATCATATATGAAATATACTCTTGCAAAATGCTTGTTAGGTGTACTGTGATGTGTTACATATATATATAATTTTTTCCAGTCATCTTTTACAAAGAGTGAATTGTAACCTCTTACATTCATTGATACCTGTGGCCTTGACAGCATTCAGGTGTGTGAGAAACAATTACCGTATCTTTTGCTCGGTGGTTATTTATTTAATCTTTTCCAGGGATTGGCCCACAACTTTGCAAAAATTCTTGGAATACACTGTAATTATTTCTTGATACAATGTAATCCTAAATATGTCAGCATATTATATCTATAGGTAATATGTAATCTGATCATGTATTAATATCACAGTCATAAAGAAATACTTATAAAAGTAAAAAAAAAAAAAACTTTGATGGTGCACTAACGGTCAGAAAAGAATGCAGAATATTGCATTACAAGACCTTCAACTGGTGCAAGTTTCCTCTCCTGTGCAATGAATAGTATTGCTACTTGTCTATGATACTCTTGTGCTCATGATGCATCATTGTGACACCAGTAATGGAAAGTGCTTATGTAGGTGTAGATATTTGTATATATATATATTTGTAAATTGTGCTTATTTTGTACATTAGGTGTCTGGAGACTTTTGTGTAAATGTCATAGTCAGTGCATATTATATTTTAGTTTATAGGTTAATATTGCCTGAACAGATTTATGTTTCAAGAAATGAGGTAACCATGAATTCCTCTTACCATAAAATTGAAATAATTTGTATAGTCTTTATAGTGGTCAACTTGATATGCTCAGATTGTTATGCATAATTTTTGAGCTATATGTTCAAACCTTACTGGAAATTTGTTCATATTGTTAGTTATCTGGCTCAATCTTTATTAACCATTCATCTTTTTAGAAAATAAGAAAGAAGAACGTGTTACATCAGCTTGTTCAAGAAAAGTTGATTGAAAATTATCATAAAGAATAAAGCCATTATATCTTTGATCTGTTGTGATATCTCATTCAAAAAAAGTTTCCCATGTGAATAGGATTTGTAAAAAGCTATGTTGAAGAGTTTCCAACTTTTGTGCAGATAGAAGATTGTGTTACGTTTGATGTGGTACAGCCATTTTACCACCGGTTCTTCTGTATACTGAACTGCATTCACAATGAAAGAGCTGAGAAACACAGTAGTGGACCAGAAACTGTATTTTTGCATCTATTGTATACAGAGTTGTATTTGTACTTAAGAATTATGTAGAAGTATTGAATATTTTACTTTATCCTTTGTACTGGGGAGTTCGAATTCTATTTAATGTAAGATCATTAGTAATCAAAGTTGCTATTGATCTGAATTTTAAAATATTTTGATGTATAGGATCAATAGAGGAACAAGAATTTTCTTCAGTGATTTATTTCAAAAAGGGATTTCAACTTTTGTCAAAACTGTCTATTAAAAAAGAGGAAGAAAAATATTACTATCACTAATATCCAGATAACTCTGATGAAGGAAATGTAAGTAGTCTAAATACATTCAATGCATTTTCTAAGGTATTCTGGTGTGGGTTAAAAGTAGATAGAGAAACTAGAACCAGAGAATCTAGTAAAGATATAGTGCAATGAGTGAAAACAAAATAGATTAACATCTCTGTCTCTTCCTCTACCTCCTTCTCTCTTTCTCCCTCTTTCTCTCTCCCTCTCTCTCTCACTCTTTCTCCCCCCTCTCTCACTCTCACTCTCTCTCCCCCCCTCTCTCTTTCTCTTTCTCTTTCTCTCTTTCTCTCTTTCTCTCTTTCTCTCTAATTAGATAAACTAAAAGTTTTAGTATTCAATTTAGTGAATTTTGTAGATACAAATCATGGTATCATGTACCAGGAAAAATACCGACTATAAGGAAGTGCAAATTGCTAGAATTAAAAGAATGTAATATAAACATACACGGAAAAGGAATGCAGCATAAATATACACACAAAAAGGAATGCAGCATAAATATACACACAAAAAGGAATGCAGCATAAATATGTTCATGGAAAAAGAATGCATGATACACTTGTACATAGAAAAAGAATACTGCATAAAACAATGTCGTCCCTCCTCCAATCTCTTACTCATTGTCAGGGGCGGGGTGAGGACTTAGGAGACAGGGACTGAGGCCCAATGTAGTGTTCCATGGTCTTTTCTTCTCATCCTTTCCTTTGTAGAGACTCCCGTAATCTGTAATCTCATAAAGTCTATGCACTTGACCCATTCCCTTGTCTGTAAGATTCAGAATTGATTGTTCTGCCTGTCTGTGCACCACAAATCTATCAGATTTTGCTGGGTGCCCAGCCATGTTGGAAACCCTTGTAGTAAACAGGTAATCTTTCTGGTCAGGAATTTGCACTAATAAATTACATACTTAAAATCTAGCAATCTCCTCCAGGTCAGCCACATTTTATCGGAACAGACACTGGGAGACAGCTCTCGCCCATATTGGCCACACCCACCTTTAATCCCCCATACTTAATCCTACCGTAACCCATTCACTCATCAACTCCTTTACCCATCTTTAACCTTCCCTATGCTACTCTAGACTGTTGGCGTATAGCAACTAATTACAAACTCAACCCTTCTCCCTACCCTTTCTACTATACTTTCCTCTAGTGCAACATGACCCTATACGTCTAGCACATTTATTTTGCTTTTAACCATTAACCATTGATCATCCTCCTTTCCTTTTCCTTCTCTTCTTCATCCCATCTTCTGTCCACTTATCCTAACTGTTAATTCATTTTTACCCTTTTCACCACAATGCTTTGTCATAATGCTGTGTGATATTTGATGTCCAGCACATTTGTTTGTTTTGACCTTGGCCATTCTGGAAAGTCATAAACATCGCCAAAAAACTTCTTAGTCAGGGACCTACCCTACTGCTATATTTTAAATACACTGCTAGTGACCTTACTGTTGATGTGGCAGAAAAATTTTAATAAAAAAAAATAAAACTATGTAGATGAATTAAATTATTCAGAAAAATTGCTGTGTGTTTGTTTGGTTTTTACATATAGATATACACAAATGAATAAATAGATATAATAGCATGCATACAGGTGTGTGCACACACACACACACACACATATATGTGCTTCTCCCTTCCTCCACCTCCTCTCTCCTCTCTCCCATTTCCATTTCCTTCTCCTACATTTCCCTTCCCAATCTGCGTTCCTCTCTCCTTCCCAAATTTTCCTTATATTCACTCCTTCCCTCCCACTCTGCCCCCACCCCCTTGTTTCTCTCTAACTTTCTTCTTTCCTTTAATTCCTTTCCCTCCTTTCCCCATCCCCCTTTTCTCTTTAAGCTCCTCCTCCTTTTCCTCTTTACGGCCCCTCCCTCTCTCCCTTCCTTTTCCTTTTCCCTCCTACCTTCCTGCTTTACTTGCACTTGCCTCGCACTCTTATAATGATTAAGGTAGACGGATGATAATGATGATAATATTCATAATGAAAATGATAATGATAATAATAGTGATGATGATGAAAACAGTGGAATCCGTGGAAATTCCACAAAAAAAAGAGAGACTCCCCTTTCACTCTCACCTTCCTCTTCCTCTCCCTTTCCCGCCCCTACCACATTCACTCACTCCCAAATATTCCTTTAATATACTTCTCCCCTCTCACTTTAAGTCCTATATCTGTTCTAACTTATCTCCCTTCTTCCTTAAACTCCCTCGCCTTCTTCGGTCCCTTATCCCCTTCCCTACTCCCATCCCCTTTTCTGCTCTGAGTCCTCTCCCTCTCCCCCCTCCCCTTCCCCTTACCCGTTCCCTTTTCCTCTCTAAGTTTCCTCCTCCTCTCTGTTTCCTTCCCCTCTTACCTTCCTTCTTAACCTCATTCCTCGGATAGCAGTGTAAAAATATATGTATATAAACTGACAGTTTAACTATTTCATTACAGTGTACTTGCCTCGGAGAAGAAGAATGATAATTTTAATAATGAAATTGATGATGATGATAGTGATATGATGTTTTTATATTGCATTTTTTTTTTTACTTGGTTTCGTTATCGTTTTTTTTTCTACCACTGGCATACTGAAGCAATTTCAAGGAAGTTGCACTGAAAAAAAAACGCTTACCATAGAATACTGCACAGACTGACAGGATCAAACAAAGTGGCAGAGCTAATGACAACATCACGTTTAGCCAATGAGATTGCGCTTGGAGATATCAGATATAGCTAGACACATTAAATTATAATTTGCTCCATATTGTAAAACCAATAAAGCCCCACGTTTATTTGTGATAACAAAGAATTATTTTACTATCATCAGCCGTCAGAGCACTCATGGGAGTTTTTTTTTTGGATTCAACAGGCTACATGGAAGTGGAGCTACCTGTTTATATGTATCTTATATTGTCATTTTTACATCAAAATGAATTGGGATCTAGTCTGCACTCACATGGAATATGAAACCAGGCATAAAATATCTATATTAGGTTAAAAAGTAAGCCCTTAAGGCACCACTAACAAATGAATATGTTTTTAGTGTAACTAACTACCTATATCAAATTACCTTGGGCATAGAACGCTGATTCATAGCGCCCCCCCCCCCCCAAAAAAAAAAAAAAAAAAAAAAAAAAAACGAAAACAGACGAACGAAACACAAGCAATATCACAATATAAGTAATTATTATGATAAGAATGATAAGGACAATGAGAATGATAACAATGATAATGGTAATAATAATAATAAAACAACAATAACAATAATAACAACAGTAATAGTAGAGCTAGGATTACATGCGTATTGATTCGTAACATGATGCCTTTATGTATGTGTTACTTTTTAATCATTTTCTAATAATTGTTATCAATCATCAATCTATATCTAGATGAAATAACTTGAAATATGTATTTGGAATACGTAGATATGAGTGACGTGAACAAACCGACAGATGGACGAAAATGAAGCACAGTTATAAATGAAAATAATAATGATAATGATAATAATAATAATAATAATAATAATATTAATAATAATAATAATAATAATGATAACAAAAAAATGATAATAATAATGATAATGATGGTGATAATAATGATGATGATAATAATAATAATAATAATGATAATAATGATAGTAATAGTAATAATAATAATAATAGTAATAATAATAACAATAATAATAATAATAATAATAATAATGATAATGATAGTGATAGTGATGATAATAATAATGATGATAATAATAATAATCATTATTACTATTATTATAATAATAATAATGATAATTATTATTATTATTATTATTATTATAATAATAATAATAATAATAATAATAATAATAATAATAATAATAATGACGATTATGATAATAATAATAATAATGACGATTATGATAATAATAATAATAATGATAATGGCAATAATTATAGTAATGATAATAATAATAAAAGATATAATAATAATAATATTAACAATAATTAACAATAATGATGATAATCATATTAATATCAGTGATAATAATGATAATGATTTGATGGTATTTTTCTTAATTTTACTAGTAATTACAACAATATATATATATATATATATATATACATATATATATATATATATATATATATATATATATATATATATATATATATATTTATATACATACACACACACACACACACACACACACACACACACACACACACACACACACACACACACACACACACACACACACACACACACACACACACACATACATAGATACATACACACACACACACACACACACACACACACAAACAAACAAACAAACAAACAAACACACACACGTGTGTGTGCGTGTGTGCGTGTGCGTGTGCATGTGCATGTGCGTGTGAAAATGATGATGAGGATGACAACAAATATTAAAAATGACAATATCAGCAATACTAAGACTATTACTTCAGTACCACTCATAATAAGATATTGATGATAAAAATAATAATGAAAATAATAATAATGATAATAATAATAATAATAATAATTATTGTCAATATTATTATTATTATTATTATTATTATATTTATTATTGTTATTATTAATATTATTATGATTATTATTATTATTAATATTATTATGATTATTATTATAGTAATGATAATAATAATAATAATAATAATAATAATAATAATAATAATAATAATAATAATGATAAAAATAATAACGATAATAATAATAATGAATATAATAATTATAATAATAATAATAATAATAACAATAATAATAATAATAAATATAATAATAATAATA